ACTCAATGAAGACTGTTACCAGCCTTGGTACACTTGTGCGGATTCTGGTCCAGGATTTGATCGTTGAACCGTGGATGCGACGCTTTCATGATCGTTGTGCATCTGCTACCCTTGCCAAGAAGCCGTAATAACTAATTTGCGAATTAAAGCACCATCATGATCCAGTATAGAGTTGAATGCATTGGATGGTCAAGAGCGAAGATTCGGTCGGTCTTTGTTGGGTACATGCTTGCAAATCGTTGTGAGTAGGCGGAGTAGGTGATCTAGAAGTCGTAAATCCATTCAAACAAGATACAACAACGACTGGCTTACGGTATTCACATCACGTGCTCTCTTTTTGCGTGAGTGCTGTTGGTGGCTTACGACTGCTCAGAAATTCTTCAAGCTTTATTCAATCATTCAATGTTTTAGAGACAAATTCGGCAATCTCCCAATAGTCGTCTTGCATTTATTTTCTAGAAAGTGCTACGGTAACATCATTTTCCATTCAGGTCCGGGAACATCTGAACAAAGTTATGCATGTTTCGAATGCGATAAGGGGTCCATGACCCTTCAGAAGCTGGAAGCTCATATTCAGGAAGTGCATGAAAAGCGTTCTGAAGTCATCAAGGATATCGACAAAACCAAAGATGTCGACCTATATTACACTTGCGGAAAATGTCGCTTTGTGTGCTTCACAGCCACGGTTATGGATGTACATATACAGGTAATTTTATCAAATACACTTATGTGTGGGTCCCAAACGTTTCAAGATAACGTTCCTCGATTCGGTGCAATAGCTCGTGTTATAGTGTATGCGGATAGGGTTGGGAATATTGATGTCATTTATTCTTGTTTGAACTTTCTTTTTATGATAAGTCAAGTTAGAGCCGTGGTAAGGTGTCGGGCACAGGAGCGATAGCAAGAAGACCACGAAAGTAGGAACATTCCCTGCAATCTGTTCAAAATGTTCATAATCGTGAATGGGAATGAAGGTCCGCTGTACTTCCAACAAAAGTTCTCTTTGCGAAGGACTTTCCACAATGTTGTTCTTATAGCCAGCGTATATAGACAACCGATTTTCGATAGCAAATCCCGATCGCCTGTCTGCTCGTCGTCAGGGTTACAGATGTTTAACATTCTTTTCCGTAAAACGTGTAATGCGTATAGGTAATTAGGGGTAAACATGTGGTAAGGGTACCCAGTACAATAACGCTGTCGTAATGCGAATGAAAGATTCCACGTGCTCCAATTGAATTCCTGTAAAATGGATTGGCTTACAAGAAAGGATATTTTCTCGCATACACCATTAGGTGCTAACAAAATATACGCTTGCAAGAATTCCGTTGCACAAAGTTCGATAGAACAGAATCTTTGAGATGTTTCAAAAAACTTAGTATGAAGAGTGAAATGGTTTTTTCAGACGTATCACCCAAACGCCTCAGAGGACGATTCATTAAGGGCGAGTTCCCCTGCACCAGAAACAATCTTCTGTCCAGTATGTCAAATGATGTTCAGAACGAAATATCAGTTAGCTGTCCACTGTGAAAGCTTTCATACAAAATTTTCGAGCCATTCATTCATTGTGCAAACATCGTTCGTGAGCTGGACACAGTTTCAGGTGAGCGCTAGCTTTTTCTACTCGAAAAGGGTCAATGATCTGTCTAGCTATGTGCACCCATGTGCACCAGTTTGGTAGTGGCTAGCTACGGTTTGCCATACCACGACCTACGATTCTGATTGGTAGTCTGTGATTCACTGTCTGCATTTTGCTATTGACTGAAAACCCATAGGCCGACGATCGCTTCCCTCCTTTTTTTTCTAGTGAAAACCGATTTTTCGAACCGATATTGACCCTACTAATGACCCTACATAAACCGTAATATTTTGTGGACGTTGCTGTACACGCCAAGGATTTAGCCTTTCTTGTGCCTGTGTCATCCCGGTATGCTGTTACGCATCCGCTTACTCCACCTCGGAGGAAATCTCGCATATCATAAATACCGCTCCTTGCAGAATTCTGCGAACATCCTTTCTTCCTCTTGAACGGGAAGCAAAAAGGAATAAATTAAGAAAACTAAAGCCTTGTTACACTGCGGCTAGGGTCGAGAAAATCTCATAACCCTCTGCTTCATTAATTTTATTTGTCGCAACTAGTAAGTTGAGTCAAAATCGAACTGCTACGACCGTTTCTGTTGTTAATAGACTTAATTTGCAGCCGTGGTTAGACAAAATGGAAAAGAATACGGGGAGCGTGCTAGTTAAAAGTTCAATGCAAGCATGTGGAACGAAACTCATTCATTCCTACGATTGCAAGTTCGACAAAGCTGCCTCCAGGAGGTCTTCCGAAATTGAGAATAGTGGGCAGTTCAAGAGTTGCCCAGCGTTTGTGAAAGTGAGTTTTTGGACATTACTTTTATTTTTTTTGTTTTGAATTTTCTTATATATTAAACTTTTCAAAAAACGTATCTCAAACGAAAGTGCTCCTATTACAGATAATTGAGAATGAAGACGGAGTACTGGACTGCGTAGGGTTTTTTGATCACTTCGGTCATGGTGATAAAGAATCACAGGTGAGAGGAGTGATGATTCCTTATCAAACGATGAGATCCTCACAAAATGTTCCCTAGCTTACTTTTAGTCAGAGACTACGGTCTCCCTGTTCGAGTGCTTCATTATACTGATCCAGATTAACTATATTTTTTAAAATTTATCTTTCAACTACTTTTCCTCCTTAAGAAAGTTAAAGCTCCGGTTTTCAGCAGCAGAGCAACGATGCCATAACACTTAATAAAGAGAACATGGAAAACAAGGAGCCTTGCTTCCTTTGTGGTAATGATGTTCCTCCTGAGGTTGATGGACAAATCGCTGATTGCGTAAAATGGCTTCGCTGCAATGTTTCTAAGTGTCGATCTCGCGCTCATGAATGGTGCGTCGAACTTCTAGGAAAAAGATGCATGCAATGCGAAAAAGGGTTGCTAACAAGTGGGTTGACTTCTAACGATTGTTCTATTCTGTAATATTTATTCACGATAGGACCATTCATTTTTTTCAGTTACTGAAGTGGAATCGTCTTCAAAGAGTGCTTGAGCTTATGTGAATGCTTTTGTTATATTTCTGGCGTTGTATAACTGCCAACTCTGTGGTTATTATCCGAGATACCGTCGTTGAGTCGCTATGAAGGCTGTACCCTATAGAAACATTGGCTCGGACTAGTAAGTTACGTCTTGTATAGGGCAACGCTACATTTTAAGCTCTCTGATTTCCTCTCAACCGCTAAGGGATAAGTAACAGATGGGAGAGGGCGTTGGTTGAATCAGCTTTACTTGAAGTGATCAACTGGATTCCAGTAAGGAGGCTTGGATCTTACGGGAGTACGAGAGCTCGAGCGCTTGAGTTAAAATTGGGGTTGACTACAAGAGTTAAGTATTATTGCTGTGGACCTGCGACATAAAATTTTTTCGCATGAAGCATTGTTTCATCGTATGCGCTGGCGTGGTTGAGAACGATAAATATAGCATGATTCTGTAACGATTTGGGAAGGGGTCTCAAAAGGAATGCATGTTTTCACTGGCTCTGAGGAGGCCTAGGATCATATCCCAGTCCATTAGCACGAGCACATTTATTAATGTGTTTAATGTGAAGTTGTCATACGGTTGGTTGTTGTCACATAGAAATTGCCATTGGAGAGCTTACAGATGGAAATAACTCGAGCGTAACAGCGGTATCTCATTTGTTAACACTGAGACCTCCAAAGCGGGCCTGGGCACTCGTTAAACGGGCCACATCAACGTTATGTTGCATTGTTAATGTTATTAATATGTTGTTATTGACTTCGTTGTTCAACTCACCTCTGCTTTTACCTTACTTCATAGAGTAAGAGGTCATTTTGTGTTGTAGCGAGTGATACGTAAAAGATTTTTAATTGTAAACTCGTTGGGCTTGATGGACATACCCTCGTGTTTTTGTTTATTTGAGTTAGATTTTGTTAGCCACGATTTTAGATGGTTACTATATATACTGAACCTGTTATTGATAGCACGGGTGTTGTTATTCTGTCAAAATCGCTGTCCAATAAAATGTTATTATCACTTTCAAAAATTCGATCACATAGGCTTTCTCCTGTACGGCTGCTGAAAGAATGTCACCTACGAATTTCGAAGTTCAACGAGTGAGATGTAATCTCAATATGGTTCACAATCACGCTAGAGTATCAGCATGGAGTCCCTTGATCTGGGACAGATTGGTGATTTGATGATCAGATGGTTGATTAACCCATTGAGGACCGCGTGGCCCGCAGGCGGGCCACACCATTTCGTGCCCGTGTAGTATTTATATTATTTATCAAGTGTTCTTATTTTTTTCATGTTTTCAAGATCAGCTTAGCTCACAACCTTCTAGAGGATCTTTAGGCATCATGGTCCAGGAATCATTCACTTCCAACTACAGTTATGAGAGAAATTAAAAGTTAATGTAAGGACAATGTAAAAGGCGTGGTCGCCAAAGGGTTAAAATATCGTCGATTATGCTTAAAACTGATTGATAATGGTTAGTATCGAAATATAAAGATGTTGATAGGTATGATTGGTTGATAGATATGAGGTAATGTCATTAGGTAGAATTGGTGTTCAGCCATGGGTGCTGTCTTCAAGTCCGAACCCCATTTTCTGAATCGTTTTTTTGAACTCTATTTTCCAGCTTCTTCTCGTAGTACTAGTATCTAAGTGTCTAGCTATGATTCAACCGGATGTATGGATATTCACAGTCAGCCGGCCCGTCGGCCCCTGCGGTGCCTCTCGAAGGGATATCAAGAACAGTGGATCCGATTTCCCGGTCTGATTGGTAAGTGGAAAAGAAATGGGATGAACTTGAGCTTCATTAGCTTACGAAATTATACCGTAAATCTTACAGTTGATCATGTAGGACGTGGATGCATACGTATGGGAAGTAGTGGTAGGAATTGTACTACACAGCGATCACTAGTTCAAGTCGGACCCACAGCTGGATTACTGTATGAACCAAGTTCTCCTTCCGATTTTTCGTTTTCGTGAATCAGTGGATGAGTGAACATATTCTTCTTTACTGATTCCCATTAGTGCCACATGACTCTCCCAACACCTCCCGGCTTTCTTCATTACTATAACTTTTTGTAACTCGTAGTAACGGTAATGATTATACCCTTTTTTGATTTTTTGCTGCGTGGAGGGCTTAATTAGAGGCCCCCTGTATGATAAGAAAGTTAAGAATGAAAGTGTAGATGACTAATGGCCTACCTAATAGGGAAATTCCAGAAAAAAA